AAGATGGCACAGGAAGCCCCTCACTATAAAGGCCTGATAAATTGGTTGGTATTAAAATGAGAAACTTTTATATTTTAATGACCTCACTAAAAAGTGAAAGGAAGGAAGAAAGAAAGGTGAAGATATTCATGTAGTGTAGCACCAGAGGATGGAAGTGGGTCACATGTAGAATATGTGGTCCTCCAACAGATCCTCAGGAAGAAAACTCCCCATTCTACCCCCAGTGAGAAGAAGAATGTTCTGCACTTAGGAACCTTCTCCCATTTCCAGCTTTTTAACGAGTGGCTCTTGGATTACTGCAAGCCTGATGGCTGGCCTTAGCTTGCATTTTCTTTTATTTCCCATGCTGCTTCACCCAGTTGTATCTCTTTTCTCATGAATGCTGCCTATGTGACTTTAACTCTTCTTTGTCTTACAAATTTTGATCAACTATTCTAAGAATTTTCCTCTCTAGTTTCTTTTTCCCCTCTTCCTTTTTCATTTCCCTTTCGTTCTCTGAGCCTTCTTGTTGAGGCTTATATCTTAAGTTGTAAAAACTACTGTAAAATATCTAAAAGACTTGGGGAGAGCAAGCTTGTTCTGTGAGGCTACAGAGACAACAAAAGGCTCATTACCTATGGAGAGATTTGTTCTTTGCTGTGCTTTAGCTGTTCAAATTCTCTAAAGAATGATCAGAGAGCCGGGCAGTAGTGGCGCACGCCTTTAATCCCAGCACTCGGGAGGCAGAGGCAGGCAGATCTCTGTGAGTTCGAGGCCAGCCTGGTCTAGAAGAGCTAGTTCCAGGACAGGAACCAAAAAGCTAATGAGAAACCCTGTCTCGAAAATCAAAAGGAAAAAAAAAAAGAATGATCAGAGTTACTGAGTCACAAAGAGGCAAAACAGCATCTTGGTTGCAGTGTTTTCTGTGGAGGGCCCTATGCCTATGCCTTGGATGGTGTTAGATTATGATAATCTCTTCCAGTCTTATCTTAAAAATCCTAATCAGACCTTCTACTGGCATCCAGGGGAGTAGCCCTCAGTGGGAAAGAGAGCCAGTGTACTAACATGATTTCTCTGCACTGCTAGCTGGTCAAGGAGGGCTACAAATGCTGGTACTTTAATGGAAATCATGTCATCATGTCTACCTAACTTTTTTTGTTTTGTTTTGTTTTGTTTTTCGAGACAGGGTTTCTCTGAGTACAGAGTACCACCACTGCCTGACAACAATTATTTTTGATACAGCATCCAACGGCATCTATCAGGGCTTGATCTGAATGCTTTGATTGCCTTTGTTTTCTTCAAATGGCAACATTTGTATGTTGGTTTTCTTTTGGGGCTTTTTCTTGTTGCGGTCCTCTCTAACAGCACTTGTTTTCCTTGGCATCACACATTCGTTATTGGACCCATGAACACCCTGCAAGTTTTGTAGGTGTATGGGGACTTTACAGATTTTTTGGCAGTGTTTAAAATCTTGGAGTTTAACATAAAGCTTTTGTTCTGAAAAATTGGACTGTCTGAACTCTGTGATCTCCTTTCTCAAATATCCCTGAGCACAGAGATGGAGGGGCAGCCTGCAAGGATTGGCATGGCATAGTCCTTCTTGGGACAGTCTTTCCTGAACTGCTTCTCTTCTTTATTACTTGTCTGGCTGAGAAATGTTGTAGTTGGTTACTTCAAAAAGGGAGAAACTGGGCCTCTATGGGCCATCTTACGGATTGATCAGTATGTTTACTATTAATTCTTTGAAAAAGCAAATTCAAACTTTTAAAGAGTTAGAATAGAATTTTTTTTTTGTATCTGTAATGCGAATTTGAGAATGCTTCTAGGACACTAAGCTGGCAAATTTGTCTGAGATGTTGGCCCATTTCCTGCACTTTGGTACTATGTATTAGCATAGCACTTACTAGGTACTTGGTGAATGTTTTGCCTCCTGAGGTCACCAGGCCCCAGCTATTTGTCTACTCCCAGGTTCTTAGCAAAATTGCCCACCCACCACATCTAGTGTACTACAGTATGTTTCTAGCTGGCCACTTCCATGGGGAACCAGATTTATATTTAGTTTATCTGGGATGCACACTTGGGCCCTAAATGTTCCAAGTGTATGTTAGCTTCTTGCACAGCTCCCCTATTTCCACTAAGAGCTGGGTCTCATGGGAGAAAAAAAATAAAGACAGCAGGCCAGCAGGAACCCTACTTTTGTCCACTGATGTGGTTAATGGAGTTTGTGGCCAGTACAGAGTGCATGCAATTCACGCCCTGGACAAGGATGGGTCAAAGTTTAGCTCTGTCCCTTTAAAGAAAAAAGAGACATGGTTTTTGGAATTTTGAAATTTTGACCCATATCCTTTGGAGGCCAAGGAGAACTAACTGTGTCTGGAGAACTTGTTTAGTTCACAAAGCCTGTAGCAGTTGAGAAACTAAGACACTTGGAGCTATTGGGCAGGAGCTGACACCCTGCCTTTTCAGGATCCAGACAGGCCTTTTAGTATAGATGGCAGAAGGCAGTATCCTGTCCCTGCTCAGGAGTTATCCTTATCCCCGCCCCCAAATCAAATACTACACGTAACACCCTGTAAAACTGCTTCCTTGTAGGTTTGGCCATGCTTGCTAAGTAAACACCAGCCCGTGTTTTTGGAATTCAATTCATCTCTGCTTCCTGGTTATCCCTTTTGGATTTTTCTGTTCTCCGTGCTCCTTGGAATCAGGTTAATAGAAGAAAGACCTAGAATTAGTCAGCGGCACCTAAAATGACTGCTTTAATCTTAGTAAAAGTCTGAGGGTTAAATGGGCTTGTAGGAAGAAAACTGAAACAAGTCCTCCTACACAGTGTCACATTTTGCAAGCCATCCTTTCTATCATGGACATTTCTCTGTGAAATCTTAGCACAGTCTTGTTGTAGACCACAGTGGCCTCACTCCTAATGCCCTATAACCTTGTGTGTCCCTACTCTGGTTTGGTGCACCTCTTGACTGTTTCTCATGATTTACCTCTTCTTATTTCCACCCACCCATGACGTTCTTATTGCCATGGGGCTGAGAAGCCACGTCATTCACCAAGTTTGTGGAGTTATGGGCTAACGCTGTGCTGAGCCTACTTCCCTCTAGTTCCCTCTTCTGAAAGAGAAGGCTCTCTGGCAGAGCTCTTTGTTTATTTGATCCTGGACTCATGGATAAATCAGGAATGTCCTGACATGAACTTAGGCGCGTGCGCGCGTGTGTGTGTGTGTGTGTGTGTGTGTGTGTGTGTTTGTGTGTGTGTGTTTCCCTGTGGAGAACGACACTGGCAAATAGAGACTTGGGTGAGCAGAGGATCGTTCTGGGGGACTTGCTTTAAGTGACATCAAAGCCATATGCCTTTGGTCATCAGATCAGTAGGTAACTTCTTTATTGGCATACTCTACCCTGCTTCCCAGAAGGTGTAAATTTGAAGCACTTTCCCCTCTGCTGGGAGCCTGGCACAGATGCCCCAGGCTTCTTTTAAAACCAGGGATTACCAGGTTGTCTTCCAAGAGGTCCTTCTCTCTCCTGGCTAAAATGTTGGCCAGAGTGGTTGTGTAAAGTCTGTGTAGGATGGTAGGTATAGAAGGAGTGGTTTCCTGGTCTCTTGTTCCTATTCTTCCTGAAAGGTGCAAGATCGATCATGATGTGATGCACTTGATGAATCAGCTTACTGCCCTAAAACCTGAAGACGGCGGAAACATCTGGTTAGAGGCTGGTATGAGAAACACACACACACACACACACACACACACACACACACATGATTGGAACGTGAGCCTTGTTGAATGTGTCTGGGTGTGTAGAATTCATTGGGTTGGTGTCTGAGCTCTTCTTGGAAGCATTTCAAGGAAGGGGGATGTTAGAAGTTCTGTGTTTTGCTGCTGTTGAGAGCTGTCAATATCCTAAAGTAACTTCCACCTGCCTCTGAAGCATCAGTGGAACACCTTCCTCGTAAGAGTTTCTGGGTTTGTGGGTACACTAAACTATTGCCCAATGATTGATGGTTGGGCCGGTATATGTTTATCTTGGTTGGTCACCAATCCTGAGGGAAGAATCAGGTATTGGCTATCTCTGGTCCAGGCTTGGACATCCCTCCGTTTGTTGTCTTTTTTGTTGTTAGAAGGCTTTTCTTGGGAACAAATGACTCAGCAATGAATCGTAGACTGTGTGGCCTATGTGCCTCTTGGGAAATTATTGGACATATACTTATCTAGGTCCTAAAATTTTGAACACTGAATGAATAGAGGTACATTACTCTGGATTTTTTCAGGCTGCTGTTTGGTTTGTTTTTGAAATAAACCTTACTTGATAGAAAGATCTCGTTTTCGGGTTAAGCAGACAGTGTTTTAATTATGCTTTTTATCTTTAGGAAAGTCAGGATATAAAAGTCCTGATTCCATGGCTAAAAGCAAAATAAAATAAAACAAGAAAATTCTGAAAAAGGAGAAAGAAAAAGGCAAAAATAATTCCAGAAAACAGCTGTGGCTGTAATTTTGGACTTGTCTGTAGCAGAAAGGGTTAATGGGATAGTAGTCTCATGGTGAGGTCTATTTTAGCCTATGGCTAGGAGAAGCCCGTAGGGCTCAAGAAAAGATGACGCAACATTTAGTAGTACAGGACAGCCCTGGCTGGGCCGGGAGGCTGCCACTCAAAGAGTTAAAGCTAATCTTATTGCCATGAAGCTCCAAAGGAAGAGGAGAGGTTGCAGGGATAGAGACCTGTGTGTTCTGGAGCTGTTAGGTATGAAAAAGGAAAAAAGGCTGAAAATGTGGCCAAGAAAACAGAATGAAGGTCCAACTTTTTTTTTCTCCCTTGTTTGACCAGCCTTGGCACTGCCCGCTGCCTCTCCAGGGGAAAAGCTGCAGTTCTGCTTCTGCAACACAAGGAGCAGACTGGAGAATTTAGATCTGCGTCACAGAGCTCAGAGCGGAGAGGGAGAGGGAGAGAGAAGGGGAGAGAGAGAGAGAGAGAGGAGAGAGAGGAGGAGGAGACGAGAAAGGGAGACAGAGAAAGAAGGAGAGAGAGAGAGAGAGAGCAAGGGAGCCAGCACGGACACACAAGCTGTCGATAGGTCTGCTAGCAGCAGCCGTGCTGCAGCAGAGAGAGAAATCAAGAAACAAGTCATAGCAACACTGGGCACCAGATTCCGCCAAGCGTTCAGAAATCTGTCGGGGGCCAGAGGCCTCTGGGTAGCCTAGGCTAAGATGTCACGCAAGGTGGCATGGGCGGTTCCCATAGGGAGGAGGTAAGATGAGGGGCAGGAGTAGATACAAGAGTTGGTGGGGTGGCAGGGGAAGACTTAATCAGAGTGGATTCTGGAATGTTCTGGACTGCGGCACCCTGTGTCTGGATAGGAATTTGGGTCTGCGCAGGAGACGGCTGGTGGTCCACTGGGGCTTAAGGACTTGATGGCATAACCTACTTCTTCCTTCACGTATGTATTTTGGGTGATAAGGGCATGTCTAGGGTATGTGGGTGCTCTGTTTTTTCTCACCTTCTCCCTTTCTTTTTGCTGTTGTTTCCCCTTCCCCCTTGGAGGGTTTTGTTGTTGTTGTTGTTTTCCACTTTAATTTCCTCTCCCTTAATGTCAGCTACTTAGGCCTGACCAGGGTAGAGGGGAGGAGTGAACCATCCCCTGATTCTCACTTAAGCTCCCACCCTTTACCCAGCTTTCTTCTGGTGGACAGAGAGGCTAGTTTTCCAGGTTGTTTGGGTGTCAGTGTCCATCTGTGCTGTCTTAGGGGAAAGGAAGAGGATGAGAAGTGTCAAGAAAGCCGTCAGGAGGGACTGTTTACCCAGCCATTCCCTTGTTAAAATGTCTAGTCCTGGGCATCTGGGGCGGTAGAGAGCATAAGCATGGGGTGGGGTGTGGGCTGGGAGAAGTGGGGTGAAGCTGGGAGGTTGTCACTGCGTAGTTGAGAAAAGTGGAGAACGGTGACGCAGTCACTGTTGCATCTTGTTAGGAGCTCTGTGGGGACAGGTAGTGCAGCTCCTGGGACCTGAGAGGCCAGCAGAAGGGTTAAGGATGAGCCTAGGTGGGAAGCTAGCATTTAGAGATTAAATGTCATCCTTTTGGCGTTGGAAAGTTGTTTACCTTGCGTTCTCTGTGTCTCCATGTTGGCTCCCTTCCAGTTCACATGTGATGGCCTTCCCTGTACTGCTGCATCATTAACTAAGTGACTGAGCTGGTCTTCCATTGGCCAGGGGAGGGCTCTTGCTTCAGACACTTCCTCTCATTGGTAGGAGGGCCAGTGGCAGGTGAAAAGCTCTTTTTGATTGGCTGAGGACAGGGTATCAAATCTGAATTTGCATTTCACTTGCTTAAAGGGGAGGGAGGAGAAGCCCAGCAGCTTCTAAAATCTCTTTTAGGGGTGTGCGTAGGTGCCTGTGTCTGCCTGCTTCAGACTGCCCAGTCGCTGCTTCTTCCTTTACCTTTGTAAAATTTCAGTCACTATAAGGAAGAAGAGCTTAGAGTGCCCCAAACTTTTTTATTTTTTATTTTTTTTGAGGGAGGAGATTGGGGAGACTGGTTTGAGGAGGACTGACCAAATTGGAAGAAAATATTTGTCCTCTGCTTTGGTGTCAGAAAAGGGAATTTTCCAATCTGCCACACCTCAGTGTTGCGGCAGAAATAATTCTTGGCTCCCCTGGAAACCATCGGGCAAGGTAGGGAGAGTTGCTGTTGCTGTCGTCACTACCCTGGGCTTCCTATTTGAGTGGTCTGCTCCCAGGTGAAGGGATCTACACTGATGCTCTGGTCATCCAAAGGGCCTCAGACTCTTGGAAGAACCTGCCTTTTGGAAGCTGCTGCTATCTTGTGCTTGGAAAGGTGAGCCGTGGGACTAACCTCAGGACATTGCTTGGAAGCTGGCTGTTGTAAGGTTTCCCGAAAAGTGAGTGGGTGGAGGTTCGAAGGGCTCCTGCTAGAATGATTTGTCAGTCTAGGGAACTAAGAGATGGAGAATAAAACTGGGGCAGCGGTAACTGTCTGATATTGGGGGAGGGAAGCTGGAAAATCAGAGTGCTAGCATCCTGTGTTGTCCTTGTGGTGGGTCTCATTTGTGGGAGGGGGTTTGCTGGGCCCTGTGCCATGTACAGTGGCCCCACCCATGACTGCGCATCTAGAGCGCAGTGCGCCCTGGGTCTCTGGCCTGGGACAAACACCTCCCTGATTGTTATATAACTCAGGGTGGCCTGTGCCTTCTCAAGCCTGCTTTGCAACCCTACCTCCCCACTACGTGGGGCTCACAGCTGAGGGTCTGCTGGGGAACATGTATGGGCTGGCTAGCCTTTGTCCACTTAGTTACCAGATTTCAGTACAGAAGTGGTCTGCTATCTCATCTGGGGACATGGGCTCCAGAATGTTCTTCTGAGTACCCTGTGTCACATATGGTCCCTGGGGCTTGGAGGTGGAGGTAGTGTCCTCTTTTCCCTTTTACCCTATCTGGTTTGGGGGCAGGGACTTTGTGAAGAAGACCTGACACAGTATTAGTATGAGGGAAGGTGTGATACCCTATTGGGAGGGGTTGGCAGTTCCCCTTCCTTGTCCATAGCGTTCCTTTCCCTGGGTTCCGGATTCCTCTGAGGCTGCCATTTTGAAGGCATCTCTGCTGGTCTTCCACATGGTGGCTGGTGCTGTTGCTTTTGCTGGCCCAGCTATGCCTGTTCGGAGAAGTGGGTGGGAGTCAGGGTCTGTGGTAGAGGGGTGCAGGCGCTATGTAGATGGATGTAGCTATGATTGCTGCATTGAAGGTGGTCTGGAGGCAGAACTGCCTGATCCCACCCTGGGTCACAGCACTGGGTGGGGGTTGAAATGGAAACCTGGGTCAGGGTCCCATGGCCTGGGGTCCCATCATTAAAGTGTGGGCACTTGGCTTCCATGCCCTAGTTAGCCTAAAACTCAGAGATGTTCTATGAAGAGCCTAGTGTTTGAGGAGAGTAGAGGCAGACCCAGCAGCTCATCTAAAATGTGGCAGACCTGTGGTTTGTGTTCTTCAAATAGACTCTGTCCCTGGCAGCCTCCACATGGGGATGGGGAGATGGGGGTGAGGGACACAGCAGGCAGCAGCATTTGGTCACATGGCCTTGCCTTTCCTCCGTGCCCCCTGCCAGGGCTACAGGACTACAGTTCTAACTGCTCTTCTAGAGAGGCTCCCTGCTGCCCAACCCTTTCTAGGCCCTGCTGCGGATAGCGGCCATCTTGTCTTCCTGCTCAGAGATTTAAAATGGTTTCCTATCATTGTCAAGTTGAAATTCCTCCCAATCAGTAGGATATTCAGGGCTCTCTGAAAGTGGCCTTAGCTTTCAAAGAAGCCTTCCTCAGGTAAAAACCGACCAACTCATTTCTCTGCTTTTTCAATACTGGTGTTTTCCATGCCTGCTTTCTACCTGTTGCAGTCCCATTGTCTTCACGGACCTCTCCCTGAGCAGCCTCTAAGCAGAAAACCACTGTTACAATTCTCCTTTCTTTCTTAGTATTTTGTTATGTGTTATTCCATGTGTTTTCTATCAGAGTTTGTACTTTAACAAGAAGCCTGGGGAAGGGGGAAGAATATTCTGAGCTTCTGTTGCCGGCTGCCGTGTTAGATTCTTCAAGAACAGTTACTTGTTTATTTTTTATCACAACCCTTTAAGGAGAGTCCTGTGGCTGACAAGAGCCCCAGTTTCCAAAGTCTTTTTTCTCTGTAATCCTCCATGTTTTCTAGATGTTAGAAGATGACACCCTCCTCTTCATACTGTGTTAGGTCATTCAGCTGGTCCATTCCTATACCTGCTTTATAACATTCTCCTCTTCCTTCTTGGCCAGATTCAGTCAAGGTGATATATTTTTTTTGTCCTGAAATGAACAGACTTCAGTTGCTTTGCTTGCCTTCCCCATGGAAGATCAGCCAGAGGTGGGTAGGTAGGAACACCTTCAGAGGAGAGTAAGCCCTGTTGAGGCAGGTGCACACATTGGACTGGACATACCTGGACTGTACTCCAGTCCCAGTTGGGTGATTTTAGACAGTTCATTCTATTTCTCACCCATATATGTGACCTTAGTTTGTAAAGTAGAGCCCTAGAAGAAGCCTGTTCTATAGGCATGTCTGTTGTATTGTCTGTTCTTTGTAGATTTGCCTGAAGCCTTCTTTCCCTGCCTGGGGACTTATTGGGCATGTAAAATGAGAGACTAGCAGGTGACTAGCAAATTAGGGAAGAATTATATACTTCCATGCTGTCACAGCAAGCATAAAGGAGAGTGTCTTGGTAGTTTGTACCTCAGGCCTGCAAGATGGTGGTGTTCTCCCAGGGATGGGTGCCCCCCCTTGTTTCTGAAGCAGGAAACAGAGGGGTGTTAGCAGAACGGGGGTTAGCAGGGAATGTTCCTGATAGCCTTTTGATCCTAGGTTTGTTTCTCTTTTTGCTGAATCTCTATAGTGGCTGATGCTCTGAGCACCCTGATGCCCCTCATCACCAATTCTGGGCTATGTAACTGAGTCCTGTCAACAGCAGTCTAGGCCCTAGTGACGGCTGCTTTGTTGTGTGTGCGTGTGTGTGTGTGTGTGTGTGTGTGTGTGTTTCCATTTTTTTTTCCTCGTTGGAAGATGACTCAGTGTATTGGGAGCCGGGAGATGGAGCTCTCAGCCGAACAGCCAAAATGTTCTGACAACATGAAAGCAGCAAAAAGAGCTCATTGGGGCTCTGGACCAATTCTCAGCTTTGGGTCATTTTTAGGGAGGGCTGGGTATTAAGAAGGCCACTGTTAGGCTTTAGGGATGGGGAGACACCAGACCGCTCATAAGTGTTCTGAGACCTTTGGATTTTAAATTCAGAGGAGAGACATGATTGTGTTATTCAGCGAGCTTAGAAAACAGTACCCTTTTGCCCACCCCTCCCTTCTCTCCTCCCTCCCTCCTTCTCTCCCTTCCTTCTCCTTTTTTCTTTCTTCTTTGTTTTATAAATTATTTTCACTGGTCCCAGATGATAGACATATTTCTGGAGCTGGATCTCCTTTGGGATTTCTCAGTGGGTCTGTATGAGTGGGTTTGGTCTTGTTGAGGATAGAAGGTGACTCCTTCTCAAGATTAGGCAAGGAGATCCTCCATGAGAGTGTACTATAATCCCCTGGAGTAGATTCTCCAGTAGAGGCAAGATGCCAGAATACCCTTTATCTTCTGAGATTTGTGTGGATGGTGGTCCTCCCCACTTTCCCTAACCTGAAGGCATCTCTTCTGCAGGATGTCAGCTTTCTCTTTCCTTGGATGGTGTGACAGAGCTTACTTTTTTCCTTTCATCTTCCTCACTTCCTATGACATGAATTCTCTCCCCATCTTCCTTCTGCCCCCGTTAGCACATCATTATGGAAGCTCGGGGTTCTAGGCTTTTCCCGCAGCATTGTGCTAAAGGCACATGATGCCCTGCCCCACCCATCGTGCCTCTGTCGCAATTGTATCCTGGTCAAATTATTGGATTTTTCTCTCTGGTTTCCTCGTTACAGTCTAGGTTGAGGAACAAACAATTTAAGTTTGGGAATGAGGGGCATCCTGACCCTGAACTTCATTCAGACTTTTTCCAGGTAGCACTTTTAACTTTTTAGCCATTGATTTTGGTGTAGACATTTGCTTTTCTACCCAAAGATCACCTAGAATGACTCATTTTGGATCTTTAGGAGGTACATCTCCTGAGCCTGAGAATCAAATGGGGGCAGGAAGCTATGACTGAGGTCACAGCACAGTGGGGCACAACAGGCGTATGAACGAGCTGTCTATACTCACGGTGCTCTTAAAGGTATTTGAAGCTTCTAGCTTTTGTGTCTGAGTAGAGAACATCTTGACTAGAAAGTCTGCATACGTGTAGGAGTTCTGAGCTGTGCATATGATGAAACCCTGAATGCCATGTTTCAGGGAACTCTGTTGTGTGAGTGTGTCCCTGACCAAAGGGTGGTGGATAGGTACTCAATCAGATGTTGTACCCACCAGTGCTGGTCCTTCTTCACATTGCTCTGCCCAGGGTTATTTTGCATCTGTCACAGCTGAGGACTATTGTCCCAGGGGCTACATATAAAATGTAATTGCAGATCATTGCTTGATTGGTTTTGTGAGCAGAGCCCAGCTGATCTACTTTTCTTTCTCTTCCCAGCAGAGAACATGACAGAGTACTGCTCTACCTATAAGTAGTTGACAACCTCTTGGCAACTCAGGCTCAGCTGAGGATGATGTTTGTGCATCAAAGCCATAATTCCGCTGGCTAGAAGTTTGCTTGCATTGTTTTGGAACAGAAAAGAGGAGCTTCTTGACCACTCTTTCAGTAGGTAAGTGTTCATCTTCATTTTTGTATGTTTTTTCTGCTTTCAGATATGCAAAGTGAATAGGTATCTATAATCCTGGGCCGCTATACCTTCTTCCTCTCCTATGTGTCCTCCCTTTGTCCTTCAAAAGGAAAGGCTGGAAGTTATTGTTCAGCCACCACATATCTCCCTTAGGCTCACACTTTAAAAGCCAGTTTTCTCTAAAATGGATCCAGTAGTGTCCTTGGTAAGGAGTTCTAATACCCTCATGAAGGGCCCTGCTGTACTCACTGTGCCCAGCTTGTGCTGTTAAGACTCCTCACTGGCTAGCTGCATGAGGATGGTCCTTGCCAGCACTTAGCATAGATCTGCCAAGTTCTAGCTCCAAATCTCCAGGCTGGTAGGAACCTCAACTATATATAGCCTTGAGCTAAGCAGTTCTTATCAGGCCTGTCTACCCTTCCCTGTGGGAGAAGAGTACTTCTATCATAACCACAATGTGGAACGTGAGTTATCTCCTAGGGCTGGAAGTTGTGTATGTCCATATCTGGCTTGGATCTGCCATACTTACTCTTCCTTTTCCTGTTTCAGGTGCTGGATGAAGTTGCTGAGGTGGGATGAGGGCCAGTAGGACGCCATGTTTAGAGAAGGAAAGACTGGGGCACTCAGTTTTGTCAAAGGTGGTTATGCCCTACCTCAAATACCAGCTTCCAGAGTCTCCTCTGTTTCCTGCTTGACTTGCTTTGCTCACAAATATCTTTTGACCTTTCCTCACTTTTCCGGACCTCTGACTGTGTGCTTTCCCACACCCCTTTCTCTTCCCTTTGATTTTTTTTCTTTAGGATAAATGAGAGCATTCTCAGCTACTGGTCTAAGAGACATACCTGGTTTTTCTTTTTTTTCTTTCTTTTTTTTTTTAATCTTCACCCCCTATAGCAAGACAGGGAAAGGAAGTTGTCCTGGGAAGGAAGATGGGTAGTGAGTAAGTGTTGGGTGATGGAGCATAGTAGGTTAGATAGTCTTTTCCTTCTTGGAGGTATACCAGAGCCACCAATTTGTGTGGTTCCTTGACCTCAGGTGTGGTCTGATGTAACAGGGACCTAGTCTTGCTGGTGGATTAAATATCCAGCTATTGATTAAAAACTAGAAGCAACAGATGAAAGGCCCGAGTCTGCCTCCCAGGCAGCTGGAGTGTGACTGCTCCCTGGATCTATTCCCTCAAACTTGACCATTCAGAACCTCCAACAGTTGTTCTTTTCTCTCCATTCTTCCATTCCTGGCTTTTCTATGAATGGGGTAACTGGCAGAGTGCTGGACAGGGTATGGAAGTACCAGGGCACCTTTACTTCCCACAGTGAAGTAAAGAAAGTTTCCTGGCTGCTGGGTGCAGTTCCTGTTAGAATCCCTAAAGTTCTGGGAGCTGTCCAGGGCTCAAGCATGTTCTTTCCTGTGCAGAAAGGGTGTTTGCCTTACTCTGGATACACTGAGCCTATAAGGGAATTAGGCTAGGTCTGGGGTCTAAAGTTTAGGCTAGGCTGAGCAGTGACTGGATTCTGGATTTTTCTCTGCTTGGGGTTTTCCTTTGAATGGATTGTTTTATTCTTTAGATCTTCAGTTGTTCAGTTGTCTTCAAAATATTTCCAGGCACTTGACAGGGAAATACTTTTCCTCTGCCTTACAACAACAGCACTATTGAGTTGTTAAAGTGATGATCTCCCTCAAAACTGGGAAGGCGGCTCCATTGTAGACACAAACCGGAAAGCAGACAGCTAGTGCTTGCTGTGATAGTCAGAAGTCCCTGTCTGTCATTGCTGGCAGTGTTCTTAGCCCCTAGAGTTAGTGGGAACTAACACAGCCAGGTGACTAGGGTCTGAGGAGAAAAGAAATAATCCTGGATAATCCTACTAGGTACCTGTGGAATCTCAATCCCAGCCAGCTCGTGCAGTTACTCTGCTGGCATTGTGTTTCACCTTCCCTGCTCCCTCACTGCTGTCCAAGGAAGATTAATGAATCCCACCTCACATGTTTAATTGTCTTGTCTCTCCCTTTGAGACAAGCCTCTGAGATCCCTGCCAAGAAAGGTCAATTTGGATGAGTTATCTGTTATTTCAAGGAGCTAGACAAGTTCAGTCACTGCATCAGTGGTCTGTGAGGATATCGAAGGGATGGAGGGGGCAAAACTTTAAACAAAGAGGCGAGTTCCGTCAGCTCTATAGCTGGGAAGTGGAAAAGAATCAACCTGGTTCTTCAAGATGAGCCCCACTGGAGACCTGAAACCAGACGTGCTGCTGGCCGTGACTGAGAACCGTGGGTCTTGTGCCCAACTCTGATGGCCTCTGCTGCCATTCACAGCCCTTCCTTTGCCTCATTGGGAAAGTGGGTACAGAGCAGAAAGGATCTTGACTTTGCCTTTTGTCACACAGCTGTCTCTGTGAATCAGGGCTGTACCACCCTGCCCATTTCCCTCTTTCAGACCTGACTTCTGCTGTGTGTTGCCGGCCAAGCAGGCAGGACAGTTAGCATGCCTTGAAGGATCTAAGCATGCCTGACACTTTTTCCTTGGCCTCTGAGTCTATGAGTTTTGGAAGACAGCTGTGATACTGAAGCTGAAATGGCATGGCTGGCAATAGTAAAATGCAAGGTGCCCTACCCAGGGACTTGATTGGTCCACACCATCTGGATTCCACTGTATCCTTTTCTTACTAGGGCTATGAATTGTTCAGTGGATATCTTGGCTCTGTCCCCTGGCTTGGGTTTGTCCCCAAGACTGCAGCTTTAGAGGAGGATATGAACTCTTACAGGTCACGTTTTTATATTTATGGCCTGCCTCTGGGATAAGTAAGAGACACTGTCCTTTTAATCAGCCTGCCGTCTGTAGAAGGGCCTTGCTTTCCTTCATTTTCCTGGTCACTGGCTATGAGGAAAGCATACACTGGGTTTGGTTCCTTGTTGGCTCCTTCCAGCTGCTTATGGGCTAATAAGCAAGAAAATACTCTTGAGGCCCCATGGTCTGTACAGAGCTTGATGCTGTAGAGCCATGACTTTGTGGGTAGAGTACAGGAATAGGATGAAGGGAACCACATAGGGTCATGGTTGTTCATGAAGATTTTGCTTAGCTAGAAACTCAAAGCCAGGAAAATGAACCCAAGTTGCTGAGAGGGAGAAAGGAAGGACCTTGGAGGCCTAAGAGCAACCAAGTTTTATTCCACAGAGGCACCCTAGTGCTAGTGTGAATGAGGGTTGTGCGTAGTGTGATGGGTTTTGCGTAGGTAGTAGGAATGGGTTTTTGGGTGGGTGACTGTGAAGAGAAGGGGGTAAGTGAATGAAAGGACTTGGTGAGGACCTACCAGGTGACAGGATAGGACACTGTTCCCTCTTAGTGGCGTGGGAGATGTGCACACACATGGGAGCTGGCTGTGGTGCAGGACTTAGATTGAAAGACCCTGTATGTTCAAGGAAGGCATTCTGTTTAAGGCCTGCCCCTGTGCCAAGAGGACTTACTTTGCGTTTATTTAGCCTTCTTTTCTTTTGTGGTTGGAACTCTAGTCTGTCTACAAATCTCCAAAGCTGCCTGGGTAGGAACCCCTGGGCTTGGGAACATGTGGAGAAGTCTTAAGGATTCTCGGGAGTGTTAAGAAGCCTTAGTCACTACACACTTAGATCTCTTCACATTAGCTGGTTCACTGGGTTTCACAGCACTGAGCAGAGGGTGGTATTGGCCTTGTCATGACTTAACTGAGTCAGAAAGAGCCCTCTCAGGGCCTAATGACTTGTTCCCAGCTTTGGATTTCCAACCCAGGTCTTATACTCCAGCTAGACTAGGGAGTGGAGCACTGAGGTCCTTGGCAGTATTCTGGATCTCTGAGGCCTTCACTTCTTTCTTTATACATTAGAGAGGAGAAGGAGAACTAAGAATATCTTTACTCTTCTCCTGTTTGTCTGATTGCTTAGAGTTCTTGTGAGAGCTGACTTGCACTTGGCTAAAATGCCAGGCATTCCCCATGATCCTGAAAAGAGTTCTTGTTAAGTCTTTTTGACATCTTCATAGAGTATTTCCCTGAATCTGGGCATGTTTCTGCTGTGTGTTGCTCACTAGGAAAGGAAGTCTCACTGTGGCAACTCAGGTTTTCCCATTCGATTTGTGAGGGATGCCTGGAGCTTTCCCAGCATGTGTGTTGTGTCTGTGTTATCTGTTAGCTGGCTCACATAAATCATCCACTGGAAGCATTGGCTAATGTGTTGCATAGTTAGATATCAGGATATAAAGTGGCTCCTTGGTTCTACCTTTAATCAACCCTGGGTGCCTTTGTGGTATCCTTAAGCTGGGAGAGTAGCAGAGACAATGTCGGCACAGATCTGGAACAATAATCCAGTTTCCTTTGAAGAGAGAATTTTTGCCACTGAGCTTATAGGAACGGTTCTTAATTCCTATACAAAAAGTAGAGAAAGTATATTCTGTCTCTTATATTTCCTAGGGAAGATCTGTTCTGTTTCTGTATTTGTATCATTACTGCTCTTACCCTGGGCCATTGCTCCCATGAAGAGGACTCTTGACAGTCGTTGTGGTTTGGGGGGAAAGATAATAGAGAAAGTAAGATCAGGTGATGTTTTCTGGAAAGAAGGTAAGAGTAGAGTTTCAGCGTGGACTCAGCTCTGAAAGTCATAGGCATTATTTTTGGTGCTAAAGGCTTAGGTGTATGTTCAAGTGGACATACTTCTTAGAGGAAACCCAGAGTGTGAAATAATTAGTTAATGGCTCAATGAAAGTTATATTAAGTATGGAAAACCCTATGTCCATTTGAGTTATTGCTAGCTGTAGACTTTGTATCAGGAGACTTGATAGGACAGGCCTGTCTTAAGTTCACACTTAGTATTGACTTTCTTCCTCCTTTCTTTTCTGTTTCCTACTCTTTTACATTCCTTAGCCATTTCTGAATATAGTCATTTCCTATCTATGGAGGATTGGATCCACAGATGCTGAAGTCCTTCTGTGAAATGAGTTTTTTTTACTTAATTTTATACATATCCTCTCATGAACTTTAAACCATGCCCAGATTTCTATAATACCTAACTCAAAGCAAATGCTGTCAAATAATTGTTTTAAGAATTCTTTAGAAGATAGTAGCAAAGTCTGTGCATATAAATGTAGTTCATTATATATATGCATATTATATATGTTCATGCATAATAACTGGAGTGCAGGGAGACAGTACCTGGGGATGTGGAAGGCTGACTATAGTCTGTTGATGGAGGTTTCTCTCCCTTCTGGTCTCGCAGTCATTCAGTCCCAAAGAAATACACAGAGGCCTACATTAATTATAAACTGGTTGGCCTAATAGCTCAGACTTTCTTAATAACTAACTCTTACATTGTACATTAACCCATTCTTCTTGTCTGTGTTAGCTGTGTGTCTTGGCACCTTTTATCAGCAAGGCATTCTCGTCTTGCTTCCTCTGTATCTGGGTGACGACTACAGACTGAGCCTTTCCTCTTCCCAGAATTCTCCTGTTCTTGTTGCCCTGCCTATACTTCCTGGCTGGCTACTGGTCAATCAGCATTTATTAAAACAATACAAGTGACAAATCCTTACAGGGTACAAGACCATTGTCCCACAGCAATAGTCTGTGCGGTTACGTTGCTACTTTCTTGAAGTACATACATGTCTTCTGGTATCAGTGAATTAGTGACTCTGATTTGGAGTATAAGTAAACAGACTGCTCACTGTAGGGACCTTTCTGTCTTCAGAATTTAGCTGCCTATAGACCCTGGCAGAGATCTGTTTGCCCTATAGTAGGTACCTAATGTGGGGTGGTTGTTTAGGTATGCATCCTGAATCTGATTAGCTGTTACTTCGTCGTAGCTCAAATACTGATGGTCTTGGATGTCTAAGACCACATGCCAATCTACTAGGTGAAAAAGGCCAGAATGGATAGGCACAGAGAGGGAGGGGACACTGCCTCTGGCCACTGGCTGCTCTCCAAAA